CTAAGCCCCATGAACCTTTAAGTAATATCTACTTGGTTCGAGTTTATCGTACAGGGTTTGTGTTTTCGGCCTCGGATTTGGGATTCTCAGTGTGGGCAGCAGCAGTGTAGTGAGTAAATTTATATTTACTTGATGAATTCACCCACTAAACCCAGTTAGAGATACCGGTCCTGGCCGTCAATAATCCCAGGGGGCGGCATTCCAACATCCATCTCCACAATCTTGGCTAGCGACTTGCCAATGTATGTACACTACCGGTCACTACCGTACAGATCTAGCTATTGCATTGTAGTTGGCCGGAATGCAGGACTGGCACGGAGACAAGCACTAGCAGCATGCATCCGAGCGACCATGTCAGGCGAAGCGGCTTCGGACACCTCAGATGATTCGCGAGAAAGGGCGGAAGTGTTTGCAGGTTTCCACTATAACTATTTTCGGCTTGGAAAGCTTCGCCATGACCAGTGTGCCCCGTATTGGCTTGCAATACTTCCGGTATACACGGGACAACTTATCAATTATTCAAGGGTCCAGTGGTCTGCGTCGCGCTTCTTATAATTTATTAGGTTTAGGGTTTAGGGGTTTAGGGCTATATTAGTGTTTAGCGGGATAGAGCTTAGGGTTTATCAGGGCTTAGGGTTTAGCGAATATATCCATATATGTTGGTATAAAGAGATTATAAACCAATGCAGTTTATATCTGATCAGAATCCAATACGACGAGGTCAGCAAAACTATCCGAAACCTCATGATACACAATAATAATAAGTTGAACCAACCCATTCTTGCATGTCTGGCAGCAGACATGGATACCGGCGAGGGCTGCACTTCCTTGTCGGTCTCGGGCTCCTGCAGCAGGGTCGGTATGCAATAAATTCGAAATGGTTGAGGCTCGTTTAGCTTGACACATTGCAAATTGGGTTTATGTGTATCCTCTGTAGCCTCATTCGGCTGGGAAGATGCCAAGTCGTAGGCAGCATCAATGGCAGCTTCCGGATCGGGCTCACCTATACCGCATGCACATCGAAAACGGTTGCATTCGAAGTTCGCACAGCATGCGTAGCAATTCTGAACTAATCGATGTTCCGAGTCGCCGTCGGCGGCAACCTGGGACCGCAAAATGTCCTTCAGCATCTGCACTTTGACACTCCTCCAGCGGGGCTGCAAACGATGATCGATTATGTTATAGTTAGTGGGCCTGGAGGTCTTGGCACGTCGGCACAGCAGCATCAGATGAATGACAGCACCGCGGACAACCGAAGCTTCGGAAGATGCCCACTCCTAAGATACAGACGGTTGCAATAGCATGTACCCGGAACCTTCAACATCATCTGGCAAGGCTCTTTGACAGTTCGCTGACGAGTCTTCGGAGCAAACACGCCATATCGTCGAGCCAACAGAACTAGCACATCCTGCCAGGGCTCGAGAACAAATACATAAAACATCGAATCCTGATCGCCTCTACAGTCTACCATGTCCTGATGAACGGAGAACAATGGGATCTTCCCGCCGAACGTGGCCACGTAGTGTGCGAGGAAGGCATAGTTGACTTCAACCTGATCATGGTGAGGTCATGCTTCCATGTACATATACGTTTACACTTGCTTAAAATCATCCATGTTCCCACCATCTCCGCCGACTGTACCCCCGCTGCAGGAACATCGAGGATACTCTTATCCTGCAGGATGCAGCTTCGAGACGTCTTGTGCGCTAAGATACTTCTCGATCAGTCCTTTGACTGCCGCATTTTCACCAGCTTCGCCGAGGTGTTCTCAGTCAAGACTTCGTTGAGCAAATCCTTCGATTTATTTCTTCAAGTCATTAATATTTGTTCGGACAGTCCGCTGCAACGTCCTCCAAAAGGAGGCGATGCTCCTCGCCATTAATGTTGGCCATCCTAGCCAGAAATGCCAGCACGGTTGTTTTAATATCGTCACTAGCCCCGGTCCTGTGCAAGGCCGACGGACAAAGCAGGAGGCACAAAGCGGCCACACGAGCAAAATGCTCTACGGCATTGAAACTCTCAGATTCCATGCCGAATCTGCATGTCACAGCAAATCTGTACTGCATCACACATGCATGAGCAGAGCGGGGGGGGAACCCTTGCACGTCCAGATATCCCAGTCTTCATCGTGCAGTGCAGCTGCTGAACCATGTGCAGCTGCTGAACTCGCCCTCACTGGGCTCCGGGATCTAGGTCGCTCCGCTCCATAGCCAGAAGCTCGAGCACCTGAAAACGCCCAGCCGACAATGGCCGGGACTACGACAGAGGACTCAACAAAAGGCAGTGTTGCTGCACGACTCAGTTTCGTGCGTGCAGCGGCATTTCGCAGCATTGCGCCATCATGCAAGATGGCCGGGTCAGAGATGCGACCACAGATTGTGAACAGAATGCAAGAATCTTGAGTGTACACAGCATCGCCTGTCTGTTTAAAGCTTGAACAGGATATGATGTGTAGCACATGGATATGATGCTGACCATGAATCGGAAGCAAACTTCAAGAATACTATGAAAGCAATCTTTAGCTGAGCATACCGACCAGCGGAGGCCCGGCGCTTCAGCCCATGCACACGATTTCCGGCTACATGCAAGCCCAGATTCCCACACGTACACAAAATCTACGATCATGCCCTGCGTCGACAGATTCCAGCATCAAAGCAATGTTAGCAGCATTTGGGGTCACGGATGCCCAGGGTAGGGTTTAGGGCTATCTGCACTGCGCCGGTAAACGGGCAATTGGTAGTGTCATCTCCAGTCAGGAGTTTGGACACGAAAGGTGCAGAAACAGCAACGTTGCATGGAACTTTGCCAGGCGTAGCTGAAATGTGCAGCCCTGTGATGCGGGAATCCCCACTAACATTGCCGAAAATGGGTGTTCCGCTCCACCGCAGCAATGAGCCGGTGACGGACGTGTACGAGGGCGCGTTCATGAGTGAGCCACAGTTCTTGACTAAAGGTCTCCAAACACATTCAGCATTCCGATCTGGTCCAATAGCATAAACTTCTGAGGCCACCCCCATGTCAATGCAATGGTTGTACTGGCGCACTCCTGCCCTCGCAAATAAGACCTCTGGCAAGCTTACCAGAGCCTCGTCAAAACCAGTGCGACTACGAGCACCGGTACAAGCATGGACTTTCACAGAGACCCGTGTTCAGGGTTTAGGGTTCAGGGTTTAGGGTTCAGGGGAAAAGCCAGGATATAGGTTCCCCTAAGGGGTCTGTTGTAGAAAGGGGCTCCTTGAAAGGGCTTGACTATAAGCCAAGCGTTATCGTTATTGTAAAGGCTTAGCATGGGGGCATCAAGAATTAGAATAGGGTATCTAAACCCTAAACCCTAAAACCTAAACCCCAAACCCTGAACCTAAACCCTAAACCCTAAACCCTAAATATTGTACTAAGACCAGGGACCCGGAGGGAACACAATGAAAAAGCACATTGCCAAGTATTGACTATACCCTCAACTCAACTAAACCCGTAAACCCCTAAACCCCCAAACCCTACAGCCTAAACCATACCAATCCCAAATAAAGCCCCTAAACCCTAAACTCTAAACCTTAAACCCTAAACCGTATGCAAAGCAGGGCTGGTAGTTTACACTCCGGGGGTTTGGGGCAGCTCCAAGCTCGCGAAACATGGGCTAACTCTTTCTCACGCACCTCTACAACCAAAGACGGTTTAGGGTTTTAGGATTTAGGGTTCAGGGTTTAGGGCCCACGCTTCTGAAGGCTGAGGTTGCCGAACAGAGACCCCGACATCTTTTTAGGATTTAGGGTTTAGGGTTTATGGTTTAGGGTTCAGGGTTTATCTTGAACGTCGCACACGAGCTGCACGAGAGAATGCAATAACAGCTAGACGTCCATGAGCCTCCCAAACCCCCGAACCCTAAACCCTAAAGCCCAAACCCTCCCCAAACCCTGAACTTCTAAACACCTAAACCCTAACCTAAAGCCCAACTAACGAACTCGAGACCAGCACGACCCCTAAACCTAATACTCTGATAGCGACCCCTTCTAGAATCCCTGGCAGCAATCGTGACAGGAAGCCTTAGAGAAACCTCTATTGGGACCATAACAGGAACCCTTCAGTTTAGACTTTAGGGTTAAGGGTCAGGTTTAACTTTCTTGCCAAATAAGCCACAGAAATCCCAAAACCCTAAGCCCTAAGCCATTGCTTCTGAAATTTATAGGAACCCAGCATCTTGAAAGGTTGTGTATGGGAGACCTAGGACAGTAAAGCCCTTCATCCCAAAGCCCTGAAGCTAAACCCAAATAAAGGTGCCTCAATAATTACCTATCTTAGATCCTCAGCCCTTATGGATCCCTTCATAGGAGAACTTACAGGAACCCTCACTGGGATCCACAAGGAGCCCCTTATTTAACCAAAACCCCAAACCCAAATCTCTAAAACCCTAAAACACCAAAACCTGAAACCCTAAACCCTGAACCCTGAACCCTAAAACCCTTA